CATAGCAAAGAACACAACCAACAGAATGAAGAGACAACTTACAGTATGGGAAAAAAAATTTGCCAACCACCCCTCAGACACAGGATTAATATCTAGAATACATAAAGAACTAAGAAAAAAGAGGTGATCCCCCAAAATAAAACTCAATTTAAAAAATGGGCAATTGAAATGAAGAGACATCTCAGAAGTAGTACATATGACCAATGAGTACATGAAAAAAAGTTCTTTATCTTTGACCATTACAGAAATGCAAATCAAAACAACACTTAGATTCCATATTAGTCCAGAAACAATGGGTACCATCAAGAACTCAAAAACAACAAATGCTGCTGAGGCTGTGGGGGAAAAGGCACCCTTCTACTACAATAGTAGTACAGATGTAAACTAGTTCAACTACTATGGAGATTTCTCAAAAAATTAAAAATAGAAATTCCATTCAACCTAGCTATTCCTCTTTTGTTCCTGAGCTAAAGGCATCACATTATAGTGATGCCTACCCAAATTTACAGCAGCAAAACTCATAATAGCTTTGTGGTAAATATGCAGGATGGAATACTTTTCAGCCATTAAAAATGGTAAATTTGAGTCACTGGTAGGACAACGGATATATCTTCAAACCATAAGGTTAAGTGAAATAAATCAAACACAGAAAGTTAAATATCACATGGTTTCCTCCTACATGAAAAGCCCAAAATATAATTTATTTTTATTTTCTGAGAGGGTCTTGCTATGCAGTTCAGACTGGCTGTGCAATCATGTAGCAAAGGCTACAGCCTCCAGAGTGCTAGGACTACAGGTGTGTGCCACTACACTTGGCCAAAGTATAAATAACTTAGAGTCAAATAAAATAGGTATTATAGGAAATACAGAGGAAGACCTTTTGGAGAAATCCATGGATGGGAGAAGAAAAGAGGAAGGGGAAAAGAGGAAACGAAAAGGTTCAAGATGAGATATGTACATGTATCCACCCACCATGATGAATGTATTACGTATTGAAAATATGTACTAGTAAATGAACAAATAAAGCAGAAAAAATATTGAACTTTCCTTGTTCTCAGATTTAACCATCAAAAATTTCAGAGGAAGGAAAAAAGATATAAAGGTAGAAGGGACACAAGGAAAACCATAACTAAAACAATCATACTTTTAAGAAGATTGCAACTCCAGAACACAAAGTTAGTCAAGGTTACACCTATCAGTATTCTCTTGGTTTGTTTATGCGTCTTTTTTTTCTAGGGCCATTACACTCAAAATTCCATAAAGATACTCTAAGCCTATAGATTACCTCCTTGATAAAGGGTAGAAATCTGATGTTAAGATAAAGGAACAGACTGACACTTCAAAGAATATTTGTACAAACATCTTACATTGCCCATCTACAACACGCCTTTCCCCTGTAAAGTTGACCATTGTCTTTCTGTGGGTGGCCCATCCTTCTCCTGTAAATCACGAGCAAGAAGGAACTTCTTATAGATTCCCATATTTCTACCACATAGATACTCCCAGCTCCAAACTGTAGTATGTACCTCTCTTAAGACCCAGTACTCTCTTTGAGTGTGAATTTTTCACTTTCTGCCTATTAAATCTTTTTTTGCCTCTTACTGATGCATCCTGAAAATCCCTTTTCCATAACAGGAGCTGGGAATCTGCAACGTATTTCACAGCTTTCAGTCCTCCATCTCTGCTTTGCGAACTTCCTCAGACCCTGTTCAGCCTCATTCCATTATCGTTTATCAGATGCAGAAACCAAACACCCTGATTTGCCTCCCACAGAACAGTTAATTGGCTCTGTGGCAGTACTTTTATGATGTTTTGAGCGCAGGGCTAGTATTCTTTCCTGTAAGTGAAGAAATGCCCTTATCTCTATGAGAATGAATGCGAGATTCAATCTGATACTCAATCGTGTTGGAACTTAAGTTTTTGCTGCAGACTTGAGTATTTTGTAATGCATTTAACTAAAATTAAAGACAAAACCAGTGTCTTCATGTAAAATACACATTTTGATGAAAATTAACATTTCTGAACCACAAGTAACAGTGAAGGCACTTAATACTTCCTATGCTATCCAAAGGTAATGCAGGCAGCAAGATCTCCACTCACACAAATTTGTAGTTGAGGCCAGTCCGAAAGCACTTTGTGGGGCAGAAGCTTGATGCAAGGGAAGGGCAAGGCAACCTCCATTTTTCAAAATCTACTTACTGTGTATGAGGTACTTCCATATAACCTTCTGTTGGAAGTGATTATGATGTAATAACATGCCAAAATGCAAGTAGCAAGAAAAAATAACAGAATTCTATCAATGCCTTCCAGCTGCATGAATATGCTCAACAAAAATCATATTCTCATGGATTAGAGTATTTGGCAATACCTGTGTATAAGAAAAAACACTTTTTGGGGGGTGAGTTACTGCAGATTGAACCAACAGCCTTCACAATGAGCTTTATCCCTACCTCTTTTTATTTTTTATTTTGAGAAATAATCTTGCTAAGTCACTACATTGGCAAGACGACACTTGAATTCAAAATCCTTCTATTCTGCCTCAGCGTCCCTGAGTGCTGGGATTATAGGTGTTTGCCACCACAGCAGCAAAAAAAGTTATTTTCAAAGATGAATTATGTAAGACCTTCCTACAGATCCGCATTAACAGACAAATGCTTAAAATATTTTGGTAATGTTAAGGACTGAACCCAGGATCTTACACATGCTAGGGAAGTGCTCTATCCCTGAGCTATATCCTAAACCCCTATAGGCAATTCAGATGATAGAAAACACGAACTTTGAACCCCAATTAAGTGCAATGATATCCTCCAAAGTATTTAGTTCTTGTTATCAGTACAGCCATATTCCAAAAGTTCTCAATTACTCTTTTTAATTTTGTCAATCAAAATTTGTGAAAATCTGTTTTATTTAAGTAGCTATAAAATAATCTCAGCTTTGTCTCTTAGCCCACAAAGACTCCTATTTATTATCTGACCCTTTACAGAAAAGAGCTGCTGACTCTGCTCTGGAATCAAAGCCAGCCTGGACTCTGAGGGCAGAGCTTGCACGCACTGCTTTTAAACCCAGATGGACTGAGTTTGAAGACTGGTTCCATCTCTAGCAGCTGTATGCTCAAAAGCAAATTCCTGTCTTCTTTTTTTTTGTCCTAGTTCCTTCATCTGTAGCTAGGGGTAGGTAATGAAATCTATTTTACAGAGTTAGTGTGAGGATAGATGAGTTAGTAATTGTAAAACATAGAACAGTATCTGTAACAAAGTAATTATTCACCTAATTGGGAGTTGCTAGCTTAGGATAAAAGTAGACTTCACACAGTTGGTAATCAAATCACACATCTTCTCCTAATTGAATATCTGAAATGGTTACACACTTTCATGGATGAAAAGAAGTCCCACTACATGAAGATGGAGGATAAACATGCCCTTTCCATCAAAAAGAAGAGTATGGAACATACTATGCATAAGACCGGGATAGCAATCCTCACAGACACCTTTTTTTATATGGAGAAGAGTATATTACTCTTTTCCTATTTCAAATTCATGATTACATTCTTTATATTCTATAATATAAACACATTACTAGCAATACTTCATAACACTTCAAAAATATATGACAACTTAATAAGGTATTCAAATAGCATATTCGTATTCACTCAATAAATAGGTACTTGAGTGCTTAATATTTTCCATATATATAACTTTGCTAGTTTAAGAACTTTTAAGGAAAAAGTGGATTTGCATATGGACTACTGACAGTACCTCAAAAACTGCGGATACAAATTAACTGCTAATGCGGTTTTCTTAAATAATAGCACAAAAAATCTGAGCGCCTGCCATCCAAGCAAACTTCCTGCAATAATGGAAATACTCTACATCCATTTGTCTAACATAATGATTAGCTGGCCTCATGTGACTACTGAAAAACTGAAATGTGGCTTAGAGTAAACTGAGCAACTGTATTCTAAATCACATTTAACTAAAGTTAAATAGCCAGTTAGCACAGTTCTACAAGCTCAATACACTACATGTGCAGATTGGAATATAATATTTTTGTCTTAATAGAAAAGTAAATTTTGGTATACTACACAGTTAATATTGGCTTCCCATTCAAAACAGCCCTGCTTTTTCGTGCCACAAAATATTTTATTTTCTTGTTCTGTTTTGTTTTCTGGTGCAGGGAATTGAACTTAGGGCCTTGAACAGGGTAGGCAAGTGCTCTACCACTGAACTATATAGCCAATTCTTTTAATTTTATTCTTACTCATTTATTTTTTGAGACAAGGTCTTGCTAAGTTGCCCTTGGGTAGCCACAAACTAGAGATTCTCCTAACTCATCCTGCTGAGTAGCTAGGATTGTAGATGTGCACCACCATGCCCGGCCTATCTATATTCTTTTTTTTTTTTTTTTTTTTTTTGGTTTTCTGAGACATTGTCTTCCCTGTAGTCCAGGTTGGCTGGCCCTGAACTCATGACAATCCTCCTGCCTCAGCCTCTCAAGTGCTGGGATTACAGGAGTGCACCACCACACCCAGCTCATTCTATATTCTTAATAGCAGAATTAAATCAATTCAATTTCTTAATAAAGTAATGCTTAAAAAATTTCTTTTCTCTCCCCTCCTACCATCTATGAATTATGGTTACATTTTAATTATTTAAGGTACTGGGGCTCAAGTACAACACACACGCATACATATACACACACAAATGAAGACCACATACATGATTTTCTGTATGTAAACAAAATCCACATGTAATACAGAATCCTGAAACCTTTCCTTGAGGCAAACTTTTAAGGCATCCAGTTAGCAGTTAGAAAGCTAATTCAATTAGTGGCTTTACTTCTTATTCTTGATTATGCTTACATTTTTCTACTAGCTTAATGTAGCAGTTTCGATAAATCTATTAGAAGTGGAAAAAATTCACTTCCCCAAGTAGCTGTGACAATTGTTTATACCAAACAAAATACTTGTGAGATCATAAGGCTTAATAAGTTATCCTCACATGGAAGTGTGAAAAATCAACTTTATTTTTGCATAAATATCATATTTTATTGTTCACTTAAAAATAAGTTAAAGTGCTTCTGTATTACTCTTTTATTAACACACACTCATTGATTAAAGCATAATACCACAGATTAACATAAGGTAAAAATATTATCACCCACTCACTTATTTTTGAAAACTGGTTCCAATATTTTGTGCAAACACTTCTTTACATTTTACTTAATTCAGTGGAAATTTTGTATTTTTCCTTTAAAATCTACAAATGTCTCAATTGTCACCATTATAAAAACTAAACAAGGAAACCAAACAAAAATAAAACCCTACAAAAAACACTGATTTTAATTACAGAACATACATGAAGTCACTGAGTAAAGCTCTTTTTTATAAACACTTTCGGAAAGCTTGCATTCAGTTCTAGCACAGCTCTGTTATCAATCTGTGAGCAGAAGGACACATCAAGTAAGGACAGATCTTTACAGCATTCCAGGAGCTTTCTTAACGATGCTGGACTTACCATTCTTGTTCCTGTTAAAAAAGAAAAAGAAAAAGCCAAACAAAACACCTTAAGTACATTTATAAAATATCCCAATAATGAATTTTTAAATTATTTACTTAAAAACAATATAAATGACCTTTTAAAAATTAAAAACATTTTTTTCAAACAAATGACTTCAGATTGAAGGGCTAGGGCTGTATGTAGCTCAGTGCCACAATGCTAGCACGCTGGAGGAGCCGGGACCAGCACGCGTTTGGTCCACAGCACTACCACAAAACAAAAACAGAGCTTCAGGTTGAAATGGCTCTGTTTAATGAAAGAAAACCTAAATATTCCCAAGCAATCTAGTACCTATGACTTGAATCTGATCAATCGTTTACCCCCCACCTTCATTCCTACTTCTGACCTCTTCCAAACAGTCCTTCTGTCATCCAACTGTTCTATTTCTGCAAAATGGTTTTCACACCTCGTTTTCCCTAACTTACGGGTCAAATCTGGCAGCAATACCTACAATAATTCAACCATGCAAAGTAATTACTAAGCAACTACTCTGCTAAAGTACTAAGCACCTGTACTAGCACTCGAAACGCCAAGATAATTAAGACACATGCCTGCCTTAAGGAACTCATTGACCATGGTAGAAAGCAAATAAACACAACACTAGTTGGTAAGCCTTATAGTGAGAAGGGAGTATGCAATAATACTACTGGAAGACAAATGATGGATGATGAGTTAATTTAGCTGATGTTAAATTTCAAGTGATTATGGTGTGTTCAATTGAAAGTTAAATAAATTATGTAAAGCATCTGATACGTCAGGTACTTAATAACTACCAAATGTCACTTGAGTCTAAGAGACAATCTGTTGCTTTAATTACAACTTTTCTAGGGAGAAACAATCACAATCATATCACATATGCACATCTACCGGGAGGGGATCTGGGATTTCTGAAATGCTAACCTAAGTTTAATTCTCTGAGAACTTCTTTATAATCTCCTTCCCAGCACAAGCTCCAGAGCCGTCAATATAGAGTCATGCTACCTGTGACTGCTCCCGAACTGAGGCAATTCGGATTCCCCTGGGAATTTAAACTTGGGATTCAGCAAAGCTTTCAGGGTCCACAGATCCTTATTTCTAAAAACATGTAAAGCCAAGTGGAGCTGTTGTATTTAGCAATTTGTGTTCAGGAAAGCAGAGAATGCTATTCTGATGAGAGAACAAGACAAAACCAAGGAAGCACCATAAAAATTTTTATGAATACACCCTGCCAGAAGGCTGGGGAGGTACAAGTGCTGGAGCACGCAGGACAGGAAAAGTAAAAAAGAGAAAGAGTGAGAGAGGGAGAAAAGAGCTTTCTTGCCTTTTAGTGGTTTTTCAGTCCTGAGATCTCACCATAGCTTCTACACTTGGGATTCAAGAGATACAAGTGTATCTTCATAATAACTTTCTTTTCCTTATGCTTAAATTATCTCAAGTGCACTTCTGTTATGTGAGATCAGAGAACCTCAACCTAGGCACTTACCTATGTGGTGTTTTTGTACCAACTGCCATGACTGTTTTCTATGTGCTAGTCTTTCCCATTACAATCTGAGTATCCTAAAAAATGAGTTCCCTAAATCCTAAAAGCATTTCTGTGAAAGAAATCATGGATTTAAAATTCAATGAGCCTAGGTCACTGTCCTATTCTTCCAAATGACTGCGCTTCTGTCCAGTTATTTGCTCAGTCAGCTTACTTCATCAGGGCAGGAGTCAAGTGTATCTCATCCACTATTATATCTGCAGTACTGAAAACAGTGCCCAACACAGTACATGCTAAATAGGTGTGTATTGAATGAAGGGAGGTTGGTTAATTTTCTAGTACCTACTTTAGGCCATCTGGACTACTGAAACAAATTTCTGAATGTGATTTCTTCCTTCTCCAATCTATCTGCTACCTGTTTCTAGGTTAAGGGTCCTAATACATGCTATATATACCACCCCCCATTAAAATCCTGAAATAACCATTCCTGGGTTAATTTTGTACAGATTCCTTATTGCAGTGTTCAAAACTTTCCATGAAACCCTCCATTTTACTGACATGGTAAGTCAAATTAGACTGTCTATTCTCTGAAGACATACTGTATTTTCTAATTCTATACTTTTGACCTATGCTGTTACTTCTGCTTAGGAAGGCCTTCTCTTCCCATTTTGTATTCCCTTACCAAGGATATCTTTAAAATATCTACTAATCTTTTAAAGCCTTTCCTTATTTCTGGAATTACATATATTCTTTCTTCTTTCTCAGCCCCATCAAAATGGACTTGTCTCTGGCTTGCATTTCATTTATATAGTTGTTTTTCTCCTTCTTCCTATGTTAAGAACTCTTTGAAAGTGGAAATATACAGTGTCTTACTCAGCTTTGTAGTGATAAGCACTATTTTCAATGTGAAGCAGGACTGCCACTTAATACCCATGTAAAACAACAACAAAGTAATGACTCCTGGCTTCATTGAATGAGGCATTCTTATTTTTCTTTAAAAAATATTCTAACACATAAGGATTAAAGAAACCAAAATATAGCAAATAATAACCAAAATATAGCAAAGAATAAAGAAAACATAGTTTAGTGATTAGGAGACCAGACTCTGATTGTACCATTACTAGCTGAGCAAAATCAATTAATTTGCTTGAGCCTATTTCCTTATGTAGGGCTAAAAATAACTACCCTACCAGGCTGTGAGCATTAAGTTAGTTACTATATGCTCATAACAATATATATCACACAATTATACTTGTTCTTATTTAATCACTTGTTATTGCTTACTGCACTATTTATTTTAAAAAACATTCAAATATATTTGCATGGTGACTGTCTTCCATCAATTTTTATGGTATAATAAACGATACTTCCTTGCTGTTATGCTCATGAGAGTTCAAGATGTTAAATGTTAAAAATATTTTCATTATATGTCTTATTTTTGTTTTATGTGAAGTCATTTGTACATTTACTAGGCCAACATTAGGTCCCCTGAAAACTGACCCTACCTCTCATCACAGCTGTGCACTGCTTAAGATCAGCATTCCTGCCTGCTTTGCGCTCTGTCACCTCTTCCAGTGGTTGGAACTGCTCGTACCTAGTACTGTATATGATATTTTTCTTTGAGGAAGGAATTGTTTTGAACCAACAACAGTACTATTTTATGAAGTGAAGAATGCATCCATTTGTAAAGGCCTTTGCTGGTTTTCCTCATTCTTGTACATTCATGACTTTTTCTTGAACTTTTCAAAAACATTTCTCTCATAAAAGGCTTGGGACAATGCAAGGAGGAAGATATGTAGGAAGGGCAAAAAATAAAGTGAGTGAGTGTGGTGTTGCCAGGAAAACTAGTCCTGATTATGGGGCCAAAAGTCTTACGTCTGGACTCTTGCTCTGCTACTTACTAACTGCTGGTTTCCAGTACCCTCATCTATGAAAAGATAACAACATAGACTCCTCGAGCTGTGGAAATCAAATAAAATATAACACAGCTAAAACATTTAGTCCAAAATGTGCACATAGTAGGCAAAGACATTTGCCTAAAAGTAGCTTAAGAGGTAACACACAACTCCATAAGCAACATCTCCAAATGTATCATCAGCCTGGATATGGAGAGATTTTAATTGAAACAAGAAATACGTTTCAAATCTTTAGGTTTTCATCTTGTTAAATGTTGTTAAAAAATAAAGAATATATAAGTACCTTATAGACTAATCTATTAGTGTCTACTAGTACTAACAGATTTCCAGAAAACACAGTGCAAGTGTCACATGAGTTCACAAAGTACTAACTGTGTGGGCAGGGATGACTATGACAGCACCGCTGACACCTCTGCTGAGTGAAGAAGAAAGTCATGAAATATCAAAGGGTTCCTTGTTGATGAATGCAGTTAAGAACACAAGGAATCCCAAAGATGAATTTTCGAAAGAACTGCCTTGAGGCAGAACTAGTCTGAAAAACCAGAATTATCAGGGATGGAAATTTCACGGTATCCCTTAATCAAGAGTTTAACACTAACAAGTTAAAAAAAAAAAATCTAGCTTGAATTCATTATACAAATGAATCCATTTCTTCCTTTTTGTCACGAACAAACCTAGAGAATACGGATCATGAAAATTCTCACTCCTGTAACTGGATCAGCAATTAATGGTTATTTACAGCTTCTGACAGGTTTGACTGTAAAATTGTGTTACTGTCCTATTATACTGAATACATATATAATTGTTCTCTATATCAACTGCTATCTTACAGTTTCTATCAAATCAAGCAGTATTATCAGAACAAAATTTTTAATTCTTTGCAAAGTCCAAGATGAGATTTCATGTCAAGGAACCAAGTTTTAAAACAAGTTTGCATACAGCATCCCTACCAAGTATGTCCAGTTGCCGTAGTCTCACACAGTTAGATGCCAGTTCTTCTATGTCTGTATCACACACAGACCTATTAGCTGTCAGGAAGAGTTTTTGCAAGTTTGGGAGCTGGCGTGCCAGTTTGGCGAAGCATCCGGTGCTGCTCTGTAGAGTGGGACACCAGCCGAGGTCAAGCTCTTCCAGAAGTGGACACCCAGAAGCCAGTTCTGCTATTCCATTCTCGGTGATATTCTTACATCTCCAAAGATCCAGTGTTTGGAGTTTTTTACACTTGGCTCCTATCATGCTTGCTATCACATCATAATCTTCAATCTGAAAATCAAATAATTCCAACCTTTTACATGTTATGCTCAGAAATGTAAATGATTTAGAGCTAGTGAGAAAATACTTAACCATCTCTTATTGTTTGCTTCCATTTAAACATACTCATGCCTGTTAACAGATCTGTCTACTCAGCTCAGAGACCTATCACTCTATCATGAAACAGCAAGGAAAATCACTCACGTACTTGTTAATGCATTCCAAAGCAGTTTCAAGTCCTGAGTCTCTTATGAGGAGCTTGAGGATTATGTGTTATTTTTCTCAAGCTTACAATTTTGACCTTGCTGCTGACCTTACTTGTTGGTGGAATCTAGCTTCTGCTATTTTATTTATGATAAATATACTTGCATATCTACATAATATTTCTCTGATAAAGGTATGTACTTGGTAGGCTCAAAAACTGTCTAATGCTGATAGTACTAATTAGAATAGTAATTTTGTGTTAAGTGAGGCCTTTATGGACTGAACATACAATGTGAAAATAATTTACATTATACAGTAATATGTTAATCAGTATCAGTTATCAGAGGTATCCAATATTTATAATTTAATAGCTTCTCGGCCTTTTGGCTAAGATCAAGTGCAGTATTTATAATTTAAGGTTAAGTGTCTACTAATAAATGATTAAATGTTTCAATCTTGGGATTTATGTATTTTAATAATGTTTCTTTAAATAGGTTCTTTTAAGAGGTTTATGTGATTTTGTTATAATCAGGTATCATTTATCACCAGTAGTCAAAAGAAGACAAAATGATAAACACTTACAATGACTATTTCTTTTGTTAATCTGTTTATTCCATTTCCCACAAATACTTATATGCCCTCACTGTGTGTTGGTACCACTCTAGATCCTACACCCAGCAGTATACCAAAAAGCAGGCGTTTTGTTCACGTTTTTGGAAATGACACAGAGATAAATAAATGTGTGGCATTATCCAGAGAGTGATACATGGTAGGAAATAATAAAAGAGGATGATGTGATCAGACTGTCAGGAGTTGAGGGAAGACAGGCAGGTTGCTGGGCTTTCTAGGGATGAGTTCAGTGCATTCAAGGCATGACAATAAGATTAGTGTGGCTCATGGGTAGTGAGAGAGAAGACAGAACAGGTTATGCAAGAGCCAGACAATTTAGCCACAAGGGGATGGGTTTTTATTTTAGGTACAGTACTAAGGAAGGCAATGGAGGATTATAAACAGAAACATGGCAGTGATTTACACTAAAACAAACATTCCTCTGACTTCCTTCTGAAGGACAGCCTAAGTACTGTTAAGAATGAAGAGGGGAAGTGCAGTGAAGAGAACTGCAAGAGTTTAGAAGAGCACTGCAAGAGTTTAGAAGAGCGATGAGGAGGAGCCTGGATTAAGGTAGTAACAGGAATTGGAGACATGGGACAGATGTGGAGCTATAGGTTTTAGTCAGAACCAAAGACTGGCAGATGAGATATAGTGGCGATAACTTAAAATGTTCTGGTCTTCAGCAAGTATACCTGATGGAATTGTGCCAAAGACCAAGAGAAACAGGTTGCAGGAACATAACTATTTCTATAAGTAAGTGTACCTGAACAACACAAAATTGTAGCTTTGTTAATTAGTGCAATCAGCATCCTTAAAAGGAAACTTTCTGAACCAATGATTCTGATTGTGCTGAATTTGTACCAGGACACTCAGTGCCATATGGACTAATTCTCTATCAGTATACTATACAGTGTGAAATTCCTCCAGGAGTCTTTTTGTTGTGACTTTTCACAGCATTATGAAATATATCAAACATAAAGAAATCCAGGGGTGGGAAAATAAGAATTTATCTCCATACCTTTACTGGGATGAAGGCAACCTATGCTTAGTGGCTAATTATGAAGTTATGGTATAATTTACGTTCTTCACAACTCTTTCTCTTAACCTACTCCTAATAACTTGCTTCTCCCTCTTCTGGAAGTGACTGGGGGAAAAAGAAATATAAAATTCATTAAGTTATTTACTTTATTTTGAAGCTTGCTTGGGCATATGGCTGCCCAGAATAAATACTGAGTTTCCCAGCTTTCCATGCTACAAAGTATGTCACATACTTAAATTATGGGTAACAAGAAAGCCATGTAGCTTCTAGAAAGGGTCTTCAAGAGAAAGTGGGAAGCCTTTTTCCCTTCTAGGAGTACAGCTGGGAAGTTTGCTTGAATTATTCACCTTTACCACTTCATTCACAAGTAAGAAAAATAAGCTATCTTGTTTACACACAGTCATTTGGAGGTTTTCCATAGTTGGCAGTGGAACCATACTTAATCAATATGCTTGCTCACAAACTTGCTAAAAAAGACTTCGGTAGATAAGAGGGTTGGAACTAATGGTTAAAACAAACTTCTGATTACTTTAGGGTTTTGTTATATATTTGTTCACTGCTTTCTATTACTACAGATAATAAAACTTTAAATCAAAAGATGATCAGCTATTTGAGAACATATTTTTAAAATTCCCTTTCCCAATGAGAGGAATAACTTAAATTTCCAGAGTCCCACACACATGTTTATGGCAGTGACCAGAATGATCTAGGTGTGTTACTGGCAAGATGCTACTTTTCACAAGTTCGTATCATTACAAATCTGTGAAACTGGCATTTGTGGTACAAAAATCAGTTCTGGGAAAAAAGTGACATGACTAATTTGGTATCCACATTGCATTCAATACAGAAGAAGCCATTAGGGGAGCACTCAGAGAAGACGGACCATAGATCACAATCACTGCAAAGCCAACCTAGTGCGCTAGGAGGAAAACAGCTTCACAAATAGCACAAACCTGAAAACTGCTACCATTTTAATAGTCAAAAGTAAATCCTAAGTAAATCATCCTTTTGGTCAACTGATAAAAAGGACTGATAAAGCAACAGGTACATATGGTATAAAACTATCAACCAAGGGCTATCTGTGTCAGTGTCCAGGTGAACCCTGGCCTTGCAGTGAAATGACAGTGTTTCTATGACACATGTGAAATGTCCCATCATGACTTGAGTAGTGATGTTGGAAATATGAGCATTATTTCTTAATTTCTCTATCAAGAACTCCATTTCCTGGGAAACAAATATCAAGGGTAACAATATGATACTGGTAACTGCATACTTCAACGTAAAAAAATAACCTATTTATCTAAAATAGCATTTCTCATGGGCTGTTACATATTAATAGATAAAATACAGAAAAAAGTGGGTTCAGTAGTCAGGTAAGGTTGGAAAACCCTGGCTTAAACAAGGGTAACCTGTCCTTTGTTTTAGCATATATCAAGGTAAAACTCCAAGAAGAGGAGCAATAGCATCATTTTCTTATCTTGATCAGGAACCCCCACTGTGCCCTCACAAACACACAAGTGAATGTCCTTCAGGAATAACTTTCTATGAATCAATTTGGGAAAATATTGACCTAAAATAAATGTCACTTCAATATGTATGTTATGGTTATATTATTTCAACTTGTTTAAAGTGTCTGTGGCCAGAGGCCTGGTTTCCCAGCGAATGTTGCTCCAATTTAAGGGGAGGTAAATCACAAGCAGAATAAGGTGCCTATAATGTTAAACAGGGTCCTTATCACTCTAACAAGGCCAGGCAATATGTAAAGATTCTAGGGTTTGCTGTCACAGAAGCTGCCATCTACTGTCACTGGGCTCATGCAGAAGATCCACTAAGGGGAACCAAGGAAGCCTGCGAAAAGCCTTGCAAAAGGAAGTCTGACTTGAAATAAGGAGGAACTAATGGAGTCCCAAGACTGCTGCAAGAGAATGGGATCGTGTGGGCCCATACCTGCAGCTTAACAAGGCCCACCCACTGCAATTAAAGACGGTGAAGGCACAGAGATAAACATGTCACTATAAAAGGAATAGTAGCTAGCCTACATTTCCAAATCTTGAGGCATCTCTAAAGCTACTGTTAAGCTTCAGAAATGTTCAAATGGGATCTCTTTTAGGTTACAGGCCGTTACAGTCGATACACTGTGTCAACCTGAGGAGTCTAGAGGTTTGGCTAAGTGACTCAGCAGTTCTACATCCTGGGGTGAAAAGGACATGCCCTTCCTGCTCTGGTTGTTCATTGTGTCAATGTGAGGAGTTTAGAAGGTTAAGTATGTGAGTGCCGCCCCCTGGGTGGGGGTAGCCTTCTTACGATATAAGGGAGGGAAAGAGGCTCGCACGCACTGCCATTCCCCCCTTTGCTCTTGTTGCTGTGCCACTCTGCCTCTGAGCCAGCCAAGCTTGGACTGAAACCTCCACAAACTGTAAGCTAAATAAACCTTTCCTTCCTTAATTTTGGGCATTGGGTATTTTGTCTCAGCAACCAGAGAAAAATAACTAAGACACAGGCCCTGCCACTTAAGTCCTAGCCCAGGATACCAGAACATCTAGGGAATAATGTAACCATCCTATTAAACAGGTCTTCTTACTAAGGTGGTGGAAAATTAGAATGCTTTGGGGACCTTCTAAATCTCTTCTGGTTGGCAGTGCTGAGGGTGAAGAGGAATGAATCGTTCCACCAGAAAATTGGCTGCTAGTGAGTATGCACATATGTAGAGTCTTATGCCAGGGGCTCAACTGTATCTTAACTCTTTGTATTATGTATAAGCCATTCAACAATGAAGTGAAGATGAAAACAATTAACTTTTTTCAGGACTCTTTCAGGAACATATAAAACCAAAATTTTAAATCCTCAAGGACTTTCGAGATACTCTAGTCCAAGAGTCCCTAGCTTTTTGGATGTCAAAAACGAGTAAAATTTTAAAAAAAAGATTTCCATCATACTATTAATCTTCTCATTTTCCCCACTAAGGACAGTTCAAAAACAAACCCACAAAAACAAGCCACCAGGGCAGAGTGGTGCATTTTTAAAATCCCAACACTTTGAGGCAGGAAAACTGCAAGTTTGAGCCCAACCAAAGCAGTGTAGTGACTCAGTAAAATGCTGTCTCAAAGAAGAGTAGGGGGTGTAGCTCAATGTCAGCGATTCAATGATTCCCAGTACCAGAAAAAACAACAAACCAGCCTATATACTATCATCATCTCCAGGAAACAATCTCAGAACTTAAGAACTAAAGTTAGCTTTGTAAAAAACTTACCACAACTTACCACAACCAGTACATTTGGGTATGGTGACATCTTATTTTGCAAACAAATCCAGACAGGTAAATGGCTTGCCCAAAACAACCTCCGGCTGGGGCAGACTGAACTCATTCTATCACTCTGTGCTTTCCTTGCTTTTGTAGATAGGTATTAGTGCTTCAAAAACATACTCCCCACTTTAAGGAAAATGTTTGAAAGTGGGGTACAAGGTAGTTAACCATAAACTGTGGGTAGGTGCAGGGTGGGGTGGCTCAGGATAAAATTCACTCACAGGAGGAAGATGAGAACAAGCAATTGACACTAAGAACTTTCAAGTACTTACCATTACACAACTGCCCAAGCTGAGGTGCTGAAGCTCTGAACAGAAGTTCAATATGCTGAGCAGTGCTGTTTGCTGCCATCAGGGACCACATCAGAGACAAATATGGAAAGTGAATGAAAATGAAACAAAGAGAAGAGGTCAATTAGACATTAAAGGCTGTCACTGCTTTTCCTGAAATACAGCTCAAAACCTAGGTTAGATTCCACAAATGCCACTTAATGAGTCCCCCAGGTGCTCCAACCATTGATTGGCTTGGAGTCAAGGTAATCATTACTAGTCTCCATCTAAATCATCACTTTGTATATGGTTTTGCATGCCTTAAAGACACCTGTATTTCCCATGATCTCTTAGTTTATTTCCCAGCGGTAAGCAATTTCAAAGTCTGGTTAAAAAAGAGTAAACTATTCCTCTCTCACACACACACACACACAAAACCCACAGAGGCTGGTGACAATCCTCAAAAACAGCAGCAGCGCTGACATTCACTGATCAGCTGCAGCCTGATAGAACTGCCAATAGAGTCACCCCAAATCAGGACTGAGCTGGTGACTTTAATGTCAAAGGATTCTCTTTGCTGACAAGGATACCAACAACCATTGAGCACCTGTCAGTAGCAACATGCTGACTGAAATATATCTAACACTAGCACTTTCTGGTCATGTTCCTGCCATTTAAGCCTATGTAGCCCGTGCAATGAAAACAGTCTCACCACTAAAGAAACTCAAAAGTATGTGAGACTGCTAAATAATCACAACACCTAACATATTTTTTTAAAGTTCTAATATCATTTCACAACAGACCTAGTATGAAAAATTGTAAAAAATAAAACAAAGCAAATATTCAGATTTCTAGTTTTCTTTTATAAATTAAGGAGAACATTATTTAAACTTCATGGTAAAATTTCTTTCCAAGCATTTGAACTAAATCATATCTAACAAAATAAGCTACAATACAACCTCAGTTGAGTAGAAATTGAAAGTATCAGTTGAGGCAGAGGTAAAGAATCTGTCAGCGACAATACAAAACATCTGGTCAAATCCTAGATAAGACTCTCACTGGGAAAATAAAGCACTAAAGGATTTCATATAAACTAAGGTTAAAGCAACAAAGAAAAAAGAAAACTATAATTGGCCCTAATACAAGACTTCAGTCTAATCATTTCCCTAATAAGCATTTCTTTAAGTTTGAGCAACAAAAACTTTATACTGATTTTATGTTTGTTTCAATATAACATTTACAAGTAATGTTATACTGTTACATTGTAACATTACAACGCCATGTAGCTCTCAGAATATTAAGATTAGGAAGAGTACATGAAGATAAATTAATCTTGAGGTTCTCCAAAATTCATAGCCATTTTTTACTGACATACAGGATAATCACATTAAGTTAATTTTTATTAAAGTAACAGATGCTTATAATAAAGTCTTGTAAGATTTTTTTCCCCATTAAAATGATTCAGAACATTTAAGGAGTTATGAAAAAGGACCCGATATATCCTTGTGGGTAAGAAACTTTAAATTAAAAAATATTTTACACACACACACACAGGGTATGGAAAATGTTTGGTAATTTATTCTTATTTACTATGAAAAACTTTAGAGTCCAGTGTAACATTTATGTAGTCAACACTCATATTTATCAACTCTTAACATTTTGATTTTGCTTCTCTATTTTTGCACTCCTCCACTTGTTTACATAAATCCTCAGAGGTAACTTTTACCACGGTTTTAAACACTTGATGTTTGCTTAAAAGTTACATGATTTTACTATACATTATGTAACCATAAATGGTATTTAATATTGTTCTACATTTTTGTAGATAAAGAGAAAAATAATATGCATATATATATTTCTACATATTCCACATAACTTTGATGAGGCACTTCTCTACACTGAAATTACAGGTAATTCTAGTTCATTAATTTTCACTGCTATATAATATTCCATTATGTAACTATATTACAACATATACTCTCATTTCATGGGTATTTATTTGTTTATAATTTTTACCATTACAAACAACATAGTAAATATTTTTATATCAATACAAGGGATTGAACCCAGGGTTGTGCTAGGCAAGTGCTCTATCACTAATCTATACTGGTCCCCTTTTTATTTTTCATTTTAAGATAAGGTCTCAACTAAGTTGCCCAGGCTGACATGGAAATTTTGATTGTTCTTCCTCAGCACACTGAGAAGCTGGGATTACAAGGATGTGCCACCATGCCTGGTTTTAGAAATATTCTTATATACACTTTCTTGTGAATTTATTGGAGAGTATTTCTCTATAACACATACCACAGCAAGAATTTCCAGGCATTTAGGTGTGCTTTGACTTTATTAGATTTTGCAAAACTAGTTCTCCTGAGTCCTTGAATTAATTTATTCTCCCACCAGTAGTGGGTTAGGTTATCATATCTTTGCCAACATATCATCTTTTTTGTCTGCCCTAACATACATCCCCCTAGTGAATACAAAATGGTATAATTCTGTAAGATTACTGATAAGAGTATTAGTGAACATGAGGACATTCCCTACGTTCACTGGCCCCTCACATTTCTTGTTCTGTAAATTGCTTAATCACATCCTTTGTTGATTTCTCCACTGGGCTTTTTCTTCCTTTTTGACTGACAGGAATACTTCACGTATGTGGGACACCAATCTTTGTCAGGTCAATCCCTTACATATACCTTTTCTAAATCTGAGACGTGTTTTTTTTTTTTTTACCCTGTATATATAGGATCTTCTCAGGTGTGCACATTTTAAATTTCTGCTATAATCACACTAGTCTTTTTCCTCTTACTTTTCTGTTGTCTTTTCTTTAAAAAGTCTCTCTTTACCCAACAAAGAATATTCTTTTTACTTTCTTTCAAATAACAACCTTAAAATCTTTATTTTGTGTTCAGGTTTTTAAACAAATGAAGTGATTTTATACATATATGGTAGGATATCACATTTCATCCCCCCCTTGTTCAAGTTTTAATTTGTTATTAAAGACTACCTCATCCACTGGTTTGTGATTCTGTCATATGGCAAGTTTCATATATGTGTGAGTGTACTTTTGGGTTACTTGGTTTTATGGTCTATCTGGCTTTCCTTGCACCAACCCTAACCCTAACCTTCAGTCTTTGTAGTTTATAGTAAGTCTTAAAGGTGTAATACGTCAAACACCCTCTTCTCATTCTTCCAAACTCTATTTTCTTGGCTTTGTTCTTTAATATGAATTTTTGGATCATCTATGAAGTTTTGGCTTTAACTTTTAAAAATGATATATAAAGATTAGTTTTTCTTTCACTACTGCCAGGGTCATTACTTAACTTATTGGTATTTTATCAATTTCTATAGTTGTTCATTATATCTGATACTTTTCTTACTGAATTTTTTTTATTGAGAAGTACTTTAAATAGATCTTTTAATAAGTTTTCATAGATGATACAATCTTAATAATTTAATTCATTTACTGAATGTTAACATGTCAGACAATACTGTAAATTCTTTACATATTTTAACCTTCACAACAGCCCCACTGGTTACACGGTTAATTCTTACGACAACATCATTCATTCATTCATTCATTCAGCTACTAAATACTTCTTATGTGCTCAGCATTTGGGATACATCAGTGAACAAATGATAGCCTATGAGGTAAATATCATTATTGCCATTTACAGATGAGGCATCTGAGTCACAAAATTTAAATAACTTATGTAGTCTTTATATTTATGTTCAATCTTGAATGAAAGTTTAGCCAGGTAAGATAACAGTTATATTCTTTCAACACTTTGAAAGTACTGTTCCTTTGCTATTTGGTAAGAAATCTACTGGCAGCCTTTGTGAGCAGTGTCTTTCTTCCTGATAATCTTGCCCCTTCATTTTTAATGATCACAGTTTTGTTTCACTGTATTTTGTTAAGATTATTTTTCATTTATTTTGTCTGAAAGATGAAAACAAAACCAAATATTTTGCTTGATAATCTGGGTGCACATTTGATTTGAAGACTCACAAATTTCTACATGAAAAATTCTTACCAATTTTCTCTTCCAATATTACTTCTCTACCATTACTTTCATTGCTTTCTTCTGGAATTTTTATTCAACGAACACTGCAATCTCCAAGGTACCAATTTTACAGTGGCTTAGAAACTATGTCCATGTATTATTCCAGACAGTAATATACAGCAGATGTGATGGCATTCCACTATTAACATTAGGTTATTATGATGGTTAGTTTTACATATCAATCTGACTGGTCCATAAGGTTCATTAGTATTTGGTCAAATATTATTCTGGATACTGATGTGCAATTGTTTCTTTGGACGAGATTAACATTTAAATCAGCACACTGAGGAAAGCACACTGCCATTCTCTAATGCGGCTGAGCCTGACTCAGTCAGTTAAAGGCCTATATAAATTTTAAAGAGCTGACCACTAAGTACAAGAGGTCAGAGAGAATTCTTTCTGCTTGAGGGCTCTCAAACTGGACACTGGCCTTTTCCTGGCTTTAACTACAAACAGAACATCAGCTCTGCCTGAGACTTAGGCCTGCTGCCCTTCAGGCTAGGACTGTACTATCAGCTCTCCTTTATCTCCAGCTTGTGGACTCAGAGTACAGAGCTTCAGACTTGCTAGCCTCCATCACACAAGCCAGTTCCTTACAATAACCCTCTTAATACGTCTTCTGTTGTTTTTCTTTTCTAGACAGTCCTAACTAATCCAGTGATAAAAGGGCTGTGGCTCCTACCTTGGCATCCCTCCCTCTTCCTTGCTTACTTGGGAGAAGCCAGCTGTCTATCATAAAGACAATCAGGCAGCCCATAGAGACTCCCATGTGGAAAAAAACCAGAGGCCTCTGGCCAATAGCTATGTAAGCTGCGAAGCTGATCCTCCAGCTATGGTCAAGCTTTAAAATGACTCGTACCCGAGTTAACAACTTGGCAGCAACCTCCTTAGAGGAATTTATTTTTGATCTCCTTAGATCCAGAACTCCACAGCTAAAACATTCCCAAAGTTCTAGACCCACAGAAACTGAGAATAATAAATGTAGGTTTTCTTTCTTTATTTTTTGTGGTG